TGTAGTTGATGTCAACGGTGGATGAAGGTACACCTAATTCTTTTTTTTTAATATCAAGGTTTTCAATATTACTTAATTTTAACGTATTGATCTTTATTTTCGTAGGTACAACAAGTTCGAGCCTTTCATATTAGCTTCACAAGCAGATCAAGTTTGCTTCATTCCATACCCTCGGATTACTACCTCGGGAATAAACTGGTTAGCTTTTATCAAAGTTACACCTCGAGGAAGAATAATCGCTGGAGAAGAACCACCATTACAAGAAGAAAACACCAATGAGATCGAGGAAGCTGAAGCAGAAATTGATGACATCCTACTCATTGATCCGCATAATCGTCAATACGAAGATGTTCCTGATCACTCAACGGACGAAGGTGTAGACGATGAGTTTTTAGAAAATGATGATGTTTCAAGTGATTATGACAATGTATCCGAATGAATTATGTATGTGTTATAAGTTTGTTTAATCAACACATCAATTTGCATTATATATATGTTTTAATTTTGTTTAATCACAAAATCAATTTGCATTTGGGATTTGAGGTTTATGTGTAGAAGAGGTTAGGAGTTTGGTTGTAGAAGAGGTTATAAGTTAAGGAAGTTGTGGTTTGGGGTTTGGGGTTTCGAGTTTAGGGATTTATAAACCCTTTCCTCGTAAAGCCCTAGTAATAGAAAACACGGGCATATCAATTTCCTCGTAATGTTCTAGTAACGCTTTACTAGGGCTTTACGAGGAAAAAAACGCGGGCATAGCTATTTCCTCGTAAAAGGTTTTCCTCGTAAAGCCCTAGTAGAGCCATTACGAGGACCTTACGAGGAAATAAAAACGCGGACATAGCTATTTCCTCGTAAGGTCCTAGTAATGTTACTAGGGCTTTACGAGGAAACAAAATTCTTTATATATACGCGAGCAATCCGGTTTCTCATTTGCTAGTAACCTTCTCTCTAAGTCCTCTAAAGGTTCTCTCTAATCCGTAGTTAGGTGATTAGATTAGGGAATTCAGATTAGGTGGTCAGTTTAGGGAATTTAGATTAGGTGGTTAGTTTACGGAATTTAGATTAGGTAGTTAGTTTAGGTAGTTTAGATTATGTTAATTTATTTTTAGTTACTGTTTTTTTAAATTATACGGAAATTAATGTTTTCAATTTTTTTTTTTTTTTAAATATAGATGCCTAGACAGAGCAAGCTTGCTAAGGCTGCTGCTAAGAGGGCGTCGACTCTCGAGGGGATAAGCTACGGAGATATGTTTGGGCGTCAGGATGGTCCGTGTTCATCCTCGTCAGCTCCCGGTGGTTCATCTTCGGCAGTTCCCGAGACTCAGCAGCCACCTCCTTCTCCTCCTCCTCCTCCTCCTCCACCAGTCGGGGTTCATCCCAATTTGCAGGTGCCGCCGAACGCACCCTTTGCGGTGTACAAGGTGGAGGATATTTTGGCCCTTCCAAGAAGAAAAGGGCTGGCAGAGTGAGATCCTTACTGACGGAACGGCCAAAACATTTTATGGTATGTTTTAATTTTTAAATTTTTTATTTATTTATTTCTTAATTAACAAAATATTTCTTAATTAACAAAATATTTGTGTCTTTCCAGGTTTGGTTGTGACAATAGTGTCGGATCTAGCGTCACAGACTGTATCAAGGGATACTTTCCTGATCCAGCTCCGAACTGGAAGATGACGGCGAGCCACACAAAAAAGACGTGGTTCAAATCGTTCGCTGTAAGTTTAGTTTGTTAATTTATTTTTAATTATTTTAAATTATTAATATAATTGAACTAATCCGTCTTTTATTTTTTCTGCTTACAGCAAAAGTATCGTTGGTCTATTGGGATTCACCAGCGAGTGAAGAAGGAGTTTGAGAGCAAGGCAAAAGCACGATTGCTCGACACGGTCTACAACTGGAAGGGCGACTATGAGGTATTGATTTATAAATTATAATATATATATAGTTTTAAAAATATTATATATTGACTTTAATTCTACTTTTTTTTTTTAATCAGGTGGATGGTTACGAGGCCGGGAAACCCGATTGCCTCACAACCACGTTGTGGGATGGCCTCATCAGCTATTGGAACGTTTCCGGACTCGGTCAGAACCTCCAACACAAACTCCGGGAACCGCATGACCAAGGACGAGCATGGCAACACGAAGGTGCTACGACCTTACGAGGAAGATGGCTTTACGATGAACGTGTTTCAGGAAACGCGTTTCCTCGTAAGTTCCCAGTAAAAAGCCATTTACTAGGAACTAACGAGGAAAACTCGTCCTAGTAATGGACGAGTTTTCTTGTAGTGATGTAACTCAAGGAGAGCATATGGCATGTAATGCATCTACACACCCGATAGACTCATATATTGACTTGTGTTGGCTACTTGCTTAAATTGAGTCTGATCTGTGTTGGTTGTTTGCTTGAGTTTGCAGGCTGATGGAACTTTGAACAAAGCAACTATTCCTTATGTGACAAAGACCTTACAAGTAATACTTACGTTAAGATCTCGAACTGGCCAATTTAGTTTTTTGAATGCATCTGACTATATCCAGTTGCACCTAATGAATCAAAATTTAAGCAGATGGTAGTGATATACCGTTAGACTTTTTTGTTCATTGATCTACATTAGTCACATCTATATCTTAGACAAACTTACTTTTATTCACATTACTCCCATTATTTCAATCCAATGTAAATTTTTTCGTATTTTTAAGGTGGAAACTTATATTTACTAGGAAGCTATGCTATGGTAATAGCTACTCTTCTTCAAATGCATATCAGATTCGCTAATTCAATGTTTGATGTGGTGTAATCGAAGCTATGCTATGGTAATCGAAACTCCGACATGAAACTATTAACAAACAATGTTTGAGTTTTGTTTCTATTATCATTTAAATTTCATATTTGTGTTGCTGACGTATGGAACATTTCTGATGAATGAATAAATATGTTCTTTTGCTTTGTAAGAATCATATAAATTTCATTTGTTAACAGCAAAAAAAAAGCAGTTTTTATACTGATTTGTTGAAGCACTCGAGGAGAAATGGATTTTGAAAACACTATTACTGATGTTCCTAATCGATAAAAAAAAAATTGATTGCTTTTGAAATACAAAGAATATATTAAAGAGCAGCAATAGTTACTTAAAAAAAAACATTTGAATTCAATGGAAAGAACGATCTTATGCTTCCTCTCTCCAAAAATCTTGCGTCTAAGTTCTAAACAAGATTCAAGCCCAATAACTTGATTAGTGTTCCATACATACTCAAAATATACATATTAGTACATTTATGATAAACTACATCAAATATACGTTCATATAAGCAGAAATATCAAACGTACAACGATAATTTATATGCTTGTTCTATGAAAATGTCCAAATTTTAAAACCAATTTGTTTATCATTTAAGTTCAACTAATTTTTCTAATTCAAATTATAAAACAATTCAGATATTACACTTTTAAATCAGTCATTGTTTTCATTGAACAATTTCTAAAGTAGAAAATTAAAACAATCCATATAGTATAAATAATAAAATAAAAAAAATGATTCTAAAAAAAAAAAATTAAAATCCTATAAAATATCATTACTCATGAATAAATTATATTTCAACCTCTCAAGTTTTGAAATATAACAGAAATATAACTATCCATAAATTTAAGTAGGAGATTTACTCTTGGTGCATATATTAATATAGTTAATGCATGCCATATAGAAGAGTAAAATATTTTTATTTTAAAACTATGTTGTGTCAAATGATCTAAGTATAATATGATTAATATAATTTAGCAATGTGCTTTATCTTTATTCATTGTAGATAATATATTATTGTATATACAAAAGTGTAAGATATGTAAATTATATGTATTATATATTTTACAAATGTTAAGTCGATATGTCGTTGTATTATATTTTTATTTATCAATTTAATATAACTTTATCTTATTTATTTCAATATAATAATTTTATTTTAAAATGAATTATTATTATCATAAAATAGATAAAATAAAATTTTATTTTAATTTAATAAACTATAACTGAATATATATTAATGCATAATGATAGTTTATTGCTAATTAAGAAAACTAGTTAAACTATTTACATAAATTTTTTAAAAAGTTAATGTAGTGTTAAAATATTTCTCAACAGACTCGTAAGAACTTTGATTTTTTAAAACACACACACTTGGACCAGTTCAGTATTGAGAGTCTTGGAAAAAGGTTACAAAACATAGAGAATGCTACTACAACAATGAATGACAAATGGACCAGAGGAGATGAAGCCATAAAAAGCTTCACTGGTACATGGTTTCAGAAGAGCAAAGAAGAAATGGAGACTAGTTTCCCAACAAGTAGCTGTTTTCAATAACACTAGCCAATCAACCTCCAGAGTCAAGCGAAATGGCTATAACAAAGCGCTGAGTCAGAGGCAACTCATTACTAGGTAATTTTACTAAGTTTTTATTAGATTTGTACTTATTTCGCTTTTAATTTTTCTGCAGGTCAAAAAATAAAGTTCCGAGTAGACATTTGCCCTGGATATCGACCGACATTACATCACCTGCAGTTGATAAAGATCAACATTACATCATCTGCAGTGACCGATAAAAACACCATTCTATCGATTGACACTTTATTCGATCTGGTATATCGTTCTTACTTATTAAATTGAGTCCTTATGATTTTAGTTATCACCATAACTCCGACTAGATACACATTGGAATAGTGTAATTTAAGTCTAGGGGAAGGTTTAGTAATATTAGTTTATTCATGAGTCTTATTAAAATGTTTTCAAAAAGAGTATTATTGAGTCAAGAAGGGGATCATAATTTTTTAATTTTTTTTCTTATTCTGTAACCACTTTTTAGCACCATTCTAGACTTACTAACTTTCCACCTTCAGAATGCTGTCATAACAACACATAGTCACCAGAGTTGACTTCTATCGAGTCATCTGCTACATACATCAGATTTTCTCGGTCGCCTTGTCTGCTCGATTCATGGTATATGTACTTGTCAATCTTCTTTGACTCTCAATATATCTTCAGGAGAGTGGATCTTGGTTCGATTCCTGATGATGAAACTATTCTTCACAAGCTTCTGTTCTGGCTTGTAGTTTTTTTTCAAAAACAAAGCAAGATCCTTTTTGAGAAAATCAGAGATTAATATCCACTCTATAAGAAATAAGTAATCAACAACAACCCAGTACGAACTCAGGATAATAAAAATGATTGTAAGAGACAAATTCAATGGTTACCTACCATGACTTGTTGGGACAAGGTGCTGAATCCAAAACCAGACTTCCAGATTTCCTTGAGCATCAAGAAGCAAGTTTTCCGGCTGCAATGAGAGAAACAATGAAAAATTAGGAATATCAATTAGCTGCACTTATTAATAAGAAACTCACGCTATGAACTTGAGCCCAAGAGTTAGTAAAACATTGTTGTACCTTTAAGTGTTTGTGCTATAGTCTCCTGCTATGGAAGTAATGAACTGCACTTATAAAGTTGCAATTTTAGCAAAAAGCCTTCCACCACTGATGAACTCTAGGACAATATATATATGTAGATATTTGCCTTGCTCGGCAGAATCTAGAATGATACCAATTTCTTTTATTTTAAAAAGAGACCTTAGTTTGTGGCTAGGCAAAGGAAAAGAGAGACACGTAGAGAAAAGTTGGGGCATTGAGATGAACCTTATACAGCCGCACTACTTCTGTATCTCAACATCAACGTTTTTTGTCGACGGTTGAAAGAGACTGATTAGATTGAACCGGGGAAGCTGGCCGATCGATTGCGTTGTTGGTATGATTGGAACTGGAAATCTCCTTGAAAAGCCTCTATAAGCCCCAATCTGTGTGTCTTCGAGTCATCCTGTCCACCGTGGTATGTGCTGGTGAAGGTACAGATTCCGGTGAAGAAATTTCGAGGAAAGCATAGGGGGAGCATTCCGGCGGCTGCGACCTTTTGGCTGGTGGGGCGGAGAGATTTTAGCTTTTTCATAATAGCAGTACTAAACTAGTTCGGGTTCAAACGGAGTAGCCCTCACCTTAGCAATGAAGAGAAGTGGTATCTATGAACTTCAGATCTGAAATCAGGGTGAAAAATCGAGTCAGAACGGCTTTCGAACGGTTTAAAACGGGTTTTGGATGGATTAGACAAAAAGTCAACTCTCAGGTCAAAGTCAATCCGGTCAACCCTTGACCAGAAATCAATTGACTAAACCAAATCGGTTTGACCTTAACCAATTTCGAATTGAATTGAACCAAATCCCAATCGATTTCAATCCGGTTTACACTTAACGAAAATCAATTAATTTAATTAATAGGTTTAACTTTAACCGATTTCTAATTGATTTTAACCACCGGTTTAACTAACCAAACACTAACCAAGATTGACCAGCCTTAACTGGTTGACCGAGTCAACGGTTGACTCGCCGAGTCAACCCGGCCGAGTTGACCGAGTCGCCAGCGAGTCACCGGCTCCGGTCACTGGTCCGGCGAGAAGGTGCGGCGGATTACCGGCGGTCACCGGTGGCGGCGGCACGGCGGAGGTGCGGCGGCGGCGGCTTCCTGGCGGCCGGCTGCGGTGGCTCCGGCGAGGCGACGGCGGCGCTCGGGCGGTTCGTGGCGGGGCGTGCGTTTCATGCTCACGCGAAGGGTGATCTTCGGAGGGCGCGTGACGGCTCGTACGGGGTTGGATCGCGTCGTTTTTTGGGTCTACGGCTTCGTCTCGACGAGTAGAACACGGTGGTAGCCTTGCATGCACGAGATTCTCAACGGTTAGGAAGTTATGGTCGATTTACTAAACGGATCAAAACTAACTCGAAAAGGTGGTGGTTTCCGGTGGTTACCTAAGGCGGGGAGTGGTGGTGACGAGCTCGGTGTGTTCTTCGCGTGTGGTGGCTCCGGCGACGAGTTCTGGTGGCTCAGCTTCTAAATGCAAACATCAAACTCTCTCTTTAACTCTTTTTCCTCTCTAATTTTCTCTAACTCTTTTTTTTTCTCTTGGTTGCAGATGAAGAAAACAAAGCTGGAGAATTTTGTATTTAAAGGAAATACCTTGGGCTTCTGCAACTGGGCCTTCGTCCTGGGCCAAAAATGATGGGCCTGGAGTTGGGTCATGACAATTCTCCCACACTAATACGGTATTCGTCTCTGAATTCAAGTCAAGAGTCGACTCACCGATAACATCTCGAAACAGCTCTAGAAAATCAATCCTCATCTGCGGCTCAGACTCCCAGGTCTCCTCTTGGACCCCGTCTCTCTCCCAACGAACCTTGACCATCATGGTCATCATCCCCTGATCCGCTCTCACTTGTCGATCAATAATTTCCACTGGATGACAAACTGCGGATAAGTCTCTACGAAGATCATTGGGCGGCTGCTGCAAAATGAGCTATGGCTCTCTCACGACTTTCCTCAAAACTGACACATGAAACACATCGTGGAAGTCCGATAACTCTGCCGATAAACGCAATCTATAAGCAACTGCTCCAATCCGCTCCAAAATAGGAAATGGTCCCATATATCTCGGTTTAAGCTTCTTCAGCTTCCGAGTCGTAGATCCTTCCTGAAACGTCCTCATCTTAAGGTATACCAGGTCGCCAACCTGAAACTCTAAATCCTTACGCCGCTTATCTGCATAACTCTTCTGATGATCATGGGCTTCCTTAAGCCGTCTCTTGAGTATCTCAAGTTGCTTTACCGTCTCTTGAACCATTGCTGGTTCTATCTCACGTCGCTCTCCCACTTCTGTCCAACAAAGTGGTGTGCGACAAGGCCTACCATAAAGAGCCTCAAATGGTGCCATCTTAATGCTCGAATGGTAGCTATTGTTGTAAGCAAACTCCACCAGGGGTAGGTACCTCAACCAACTTCCTTCCCAATCCAAAACGCAAGCTCTCAACATATCCTCCAAGGTCTGGATGGTCCTCTCTGACTGACCATCTGTCTGCGGATGATACGCGGTACTCATGTGGACTTTGGTCCCAAGCGCCTTTTGAAAGGCTCTCCAAAACGCAGACGTGAACTTAACATCCCGATCTGATACAATGCTGACAGGTACTCCGTGCAGTCTAACAATCTCACTGATATACATCTCTGCCAACTGCTCAGCTTTGTCCGTCTTCTTAACTGCGAGGAAATGAGCTGACTTGGTGAGTCGATCCACGATTACCCATATTGCATTCTTTCCTCCCGTGGTGGTCGGCAAGCCCGTCACAAAGTCCATAGTCACCATGTCCCATTTCCACTTTGGTAATGGCAGGTTTTGCAATAACCCGCTAGGCACCTGATGCTCCGCCTTAACCATCTGACAAGTCTGGCACTGCGATACAAAAGTAGCAACATCCCTCTTCATACCCGGCCAATGGTAATAACGCTTCAGATCTCTGTACATCTTGGTGTTCCCTGGATGAATAAAGAAACTCGAGTGATGTGCTTGCTTCAAGATCTCCTTCCTCAACTGCTCATCATCTGGTACACAAACTCTGTTTCGGAACATAAACATCCCACTCGAAGCTATGTGATACACAATACTCTCGATCTCAATCTGCTTACACAAGGCCTCATCAACATCCTGAGCTCTGCGTATCCTCCAAAGTAAATCTGCTCGGTCAACTGCCTTGAGACCAGCTGCCTCACCATCTACCGTAGTGGCACACAATCTGAGACTAGCGAGGACTCCACTCAACTCTTGAACCTCTTTGGTTCCTGAAACATCGCTTCTGCGTCTGCTCAAGGCATCTGCCACCTGATTAGCCTTGCCCAGATGGTATGTGATCTCCAAATTATAATCCGCTAACAACTAAATCCACCTGCGCTGTCTCAGGTTCAAGTCTGTTTGAGTAAAGATGTATTTCAAACTCTTGTGATCCCTGAAAATCTTCACCTTCTCACCATACAAATATGATCTCCAAATCTTCAGCGCAAATACAACAGCTGCTAACTCCAAATCATGCGTGGGGTAGTTAACCTCGTGAGGCCTCAACCGACGCGATGCATAAGCAATAACTTGTTTCTCCTGCATCAACATACATCCCAACCCTGTACCCGACGCATTAGTGTAAACCTGATATGGTAGTCCCGGCCTCGGAAGTACCAACACTGGTGTCTGTGTCAGTCGTCGCTTCAATTCCGTGAAGCTTTTCGAGCAATCCTCTGCCCAATCAAACTTGACATCTTTTCCCGTTAGTCTCATCATCGGTTTTGCAATGCTGGTAAAATCCTTAACAAAGTTTCTGTAGTACCCAGCCAAACCGAGAAAACTGCGAATCTCTATAGCACTCTTAGGTGTCGGCCACTCTGAAATAGCAGCAATCTTCTCTGGATCTACTGCGACTCCTGCCTCTGAAACCACATGACCAAGAAACCCAATCTTCCTCTGCAGAAGCTGCACTTGCTCAACTTAGCAAACAACTGATGCTCTCTCAGCTTTCCCAATACAATCCGCAAGTTCTCTGCATGCTCCTCTCTGCTCCGAGAATAAACCAAGATATCATCAATGAAGACAATCACACACTTATCCAAAAGCTCACGAAACAAATCATTGATCAGCTTCATGAATGCCGCAGGTGCGTTCGTCAATCCAAATGGCATCAGTACAAACTCATAATGGCCATAACGCGTACGGAAAGCTGTCTTCTGCACATCTCCATCAGCTATTGCGATCTGATGGTATCCCGACGCCAAGTCAATCTTAGAAAACCATGAAGCTCCTTGCAACTGGTCCAACAACTCATCGATACACGGAAGTGGGTACTTATTCTTAATGGTGACTTTGTGCAACCCTCTGTAGTCGATACAAAGTCTGAAACTCCCATCTTTCTTCTTCACAAATAATACCGGTGCTCCCCATGGTGAAGTAATCGGTCTGATAAATCCCTTATCCAATAACTCCTCCAACTGCTTCTTCAATTCAGCCATCTCTGCTGGTGCTAACCGATATGGAGCTCGTGAAACTGGTGCTGCTCCCGGTTCCACCTCGATATTAAGAACGTCGCTTCTAGCTGGTGGTGGCCCTTTTAAAGCCTCAAAAACATCCTCTAACTCAGCAACCACTGGAATATCATGCAGCTCTTGCTGACCATCATCCTTAACAATCGAAATGGTTGCTAAAAATCCTTCAACTCCTCTTTCCAGCAACTCTTCTGCACGCAACATGGAAACGACAGAAACTCCTTGGTATGTCTGAATCCCCTGGAAAATGATCTCTCCTTCGGGTCTAGGAATCCAACACGACTTGATGGCGCGACAACCAATCCATCCCAAGTATGACATTTTAAAAACTCATCTCCAACTCCGTCAAATCTCCGAGTAAGCCAACTCCTCCAAGTATAACTGGAACATCACGATGAACACCAACTGCTCCCAACTTCTCTATGCCGGGGGTCTGAATCTGCTTAGCCTTTGGCTCAAAGACGCCCTTAAAAGACCAAGACTTGACCAAATGCGGACTCACAAAACTGTGAGAAGCTCCCGTGTCGAATAAGGTGTGAGCTGACTCACCTCCAATCAAAACCGATCCTACACATAATTTACTAAGTGCAAATACTAACCACGAAATCAAAACATTCAAACAGAACCAAATATAACAAAGGTACATACCCGCTATCGGCTCTGCTCCTTGCGGGTCTCCTGTGGCAAACACACGCGCAGCGATGGCAGGACGCTTCGCTGGTGGCGGAAGCGCTGCATTGCCCCTCTGCGGACAATCTCTAAGCAGGTGAC